AGGTACCATGTGTTGATTTGTGGCTCGTTTGTTTATCTTTCACTTGCATTTATATGAACTTGAATATGTGGTTTGATCGAGTCTAAGTCCTAGTGTTCCCATATCCATAGAACTTCACGAACCACTTGGTCAAACCGAGTTCGGCTAAGTCAATCTGTGAATTTTTTACATAGGTCTAGATTAAAGTGTGACTTTAGTATCTGGACTTAATGTCTAGAGGTGTTGAACCTCGCCTCGTCTCGAGATTTGCGATTTGAACTGTAGCTGCAATCAGGTGGGTACATTTATGATGTATTCCATAATTATCGCATTTATTATTTCGTGTAATGTTTCTTTTGAAAATTATTGTATGCATGAGAACTCTAGTCTAAGTATCCCGAACGATAGTGCCTTTGATGAATGCGAAAGCAGTGGAAGTCGCCTGCCCGTTGTATCAGGGAGGTGAACGCCCGAATCCGTGTAGAGCGGAGGGGATTGTCTGAATACTCGACTCCGTGTAGAGCGGAGAGGTGATTCAACATCACTGTCTCCTGGAAAGGATCCCAGGCCCGTAGCCATTCGGTGATGAGAAGGTTTCCAATTACAGCCATGCCGTTGTATCCGGAAGGTTGTTGTATGTACATAGGAGGTTTGCGAAAGGGCCGGGTAGAAGGTTTAGGCTACGAATTCTATGCATACCGGTATTGATATTGTACACTGCGATTACTTGTTTGTAAAATTATTATACGGAATAATCGTGCGATAATGGTGAGCTTGTTGGTTGCTCACCCCCACTATTTTCTTGTTGTTTTCTCTCTTCCTTTGTTTTAGGTTGAGACGAGCTGGAGGCGGTGGCGTAGGACGAGCGAGATGGTGGTCACTATTTGATGATATCTTATGCTTCCGTATGAACTTGTTACTTGTTTTATTTGCTTTCAAATACTTTTGTTTATTTATTTATTTTCCTTCAAACTATGTTTGAATTTCGTTTGAACCTAGATTTCATGCTAGTCGTTCGAGAATGATTTTGAAATTTATGATTTATGAGATTGTCATTTTCATAGCTCGAGCATGCGTAGGTTCATTGGATTGTTTGATTGAGTGTGTTTATTTGTTGTGGTTAATAAGTAGCGCCCGTTTCTCGATAAATGTTTTAATTTGGATTTAAAAAAAAAAATAACTCTGATTTTTATTAAATAAATTCGGTAAATTCTTTAAAATAAATCGGGGCATTACAGTTTGGTATCAGAGTCAGTCTTGCTTTTCTGTAGACTGGTTCATTTGTGATTAAGTGTTAAATGACCATTGACCACTCGCTTCGTCTCGCCGTGCCAGCTCAAGGTATGAGTTTTATTGTTTTGGTTATTGTCGATAACGTGATTATGGTTTGTTCTTTTATTGGGGCTTAGGAATTTACCCTCCGTTTATACGGACTTGAACTCTAGTGGTATAGAGTTAAGTTCCAACTTTAGAAATGTTTGTTGTGAGTTTTCGTGTTAGTGTTAGCGAGTTAAGTTTGGTCTATAGCAGTGCACTCGTTATGAGTTTCTGTTTAGTACCATCGAGTGAGAATCATTCGTAAGCTATCTCGAAAGAGAAGGCTTAAGTAAAGGGAACAGACAAACGAAGAAGTCCCGGATGTGTGGATTATTCGGAAGTCTGTGACTATTGTGGCTAGAACTATTAGACGCGTGTAGAACCCGGGCAATGGGGAACCGGGAGTGGAGTCTAAGTGTCGGTTTCATGTCGATGATCCGACCACTTGTGCGTGTAGATTCGTGGGAATCGGGCTATGGCTGATTTCCCCTTGTTATAATTTGTTCGTTATCATCCGTTCCTTTCTCGTTAGTTTGTCTTGTGAAATTCTTCGTGGGTATTAGAACTCTGTTGTTGAGTTATTGATACCCTCTTCTTTTGTTATTTATGGCTGAGTTGTTATCGAATAAACTCGAGCCTTGACTTGTCATTCGAACCTTCATTCCGTGATTGTCGTACTTTTTAAGAGTTGGGTTTGGAAAACCTCTTTTTGAAAACCTTTCATTGATGACTATTTGGTCGCTGATTTGACCCCTTAAACTCGGTCGATAGGTTTTGAACTCTTCTGATGAGTTAAAGTTCTATCTCTTATGTATCATCTTGAGCAGGAACCAAGTCTTTATCAATTTCGTGTTGGATGACGTGGCCAAAGTTTTGCGAGTGTGCGCCCGGTTTTCCTAATTTTTTCGATTTTGTGGGTGATCTGTTTCCATAGCTGTTTTTAAACCCTGAAACCTCGTTGTTTCTTTTTTTGAAGTCTTCTTGTAAATTTTAGATCAGCCTGTTGCCTTTCATGAGGAACAGGAATCGCGTGTTTTTTATTTTCCTTTATTTATCGATAATTGCGCCGGGAATCCGATCGTTGCATAGTCAGTTTTTCGTGTGAATCGCAACAGTTGGAGTCTTTTATTTTTCGCTATTTTTTTGGCATGCTTCTGGTAATCTGGGAATCTCGATGTCTTCATGCGAATTGTAGTTTTGTCTCTTAGGACTCAAACGGCGCAAGGTTCATTCAAAGGATGCGTTCAAGATACGAACTTCGTGCAATCAGATTTCTGGAAATTTGCAGCAAATATTAACGTGCGAGTTTGATCCGTTTTCAACCCTTTAACCTACCGTTGATGCCTTTGCTACCCGAGTGCTATTCCTTTGTCCTTGATTACTACCTTTCTCTTAGTAGTCAAGTTTGAATTGTATTTCGTGACCTATTCTTTTTTTGGATTTTTGTTCCGTGACAAATTCGCTTGATTTTCTTTTCCTTGCGTAGAATTTTTGGGATGGATTTGAGCATCGAATTTCAGTTTCTATTGGTTCTTATCTGATATCGAACCGTGTGCAGTAACTTCGCTAAGTCGATGCGAAGGTCAACTTGAGAATACCTTAGCTTCGAGATAGACGGCGATCAATTTTTCTTTCGTGATCTATTTTAACTTTGAACCGAAGTGGCGTACTTGAGAATCGTCGCATACCTGATCGGGGGGAGCCTCGACACCTTTCTAGGGATATTTGTTATATGAGAATCTTTTAAGGAGGCTTCGTGATGAGATCCAGAAACGTGAAAATCTTAGCAGAGTAGAAATTGAGATCGTTTAGGACTGCCGGCACGATTAGCTACCGGAGATAGAGCTGACGTGACGGCCGACACTGTTAGTCGGAAGAGCCATGCGAGCTGATCATTTTCATTGCTCGGCAATGACCGCTGAGTTGAGGATGATTCCTAGCTGAGGATGCCGATATTCGCTTTCTTTAGATGTTCGTTAATACCTAAATGCTGGGGGATGATGTCTTTGTTATATCCTAATGTTTGTCGGTCTCGTGAAAACCTTTCCTTCCGGGCTACCTCAGGTAGTGCGAACCTTGAATTAGAGTAATTCATTTCTGTATCTCGAACCGAATGCCCACGCTGACTGGGTGTAGTCACGCGAAGTGGTGGTCAAGCACGCGAGCCTGTGCTGAGAGACGTGAGGCACTGCAGGGCCGATCGTTGACTCGCACGAGAGCTGCTGCCACCATCACTGAACGTAGGAGCTCCCCAAGTCAGTGTGTGGCCGAAACCTTGACCTTGCAGCTGTTCTCCGAACAGATGTAGGCACACGTCCCAGCGTCCCGCTTATGCAGCGCCAGTGTGTATGACATCTCTCGGGTGACAGTGCATTAAACCCCAGACTGGCCATGTCTTTTTAGATCGTTATAATGGGATCGTCAAGCATCCCTATTTGAGAGTCAGTTTCTGCGATAGAATTTGTTTTTGAACGTCTAGTCGATACTTCCTAAACCGCATACGAGCTGTTACTCGTGTCGGCAAGGAGTGAGGCTTTGTCAACGATGTCGAGCAGAATCGTGTGTTCTGAAGGTATCAAGTTTGAGGATGGTGTTTTTTATGTTGGTTAGCCATTTGTATGCGATTCCGCGGCGGGCCATCTGATACGGACGCACGGATTCACATTGAAATCGTGGGCAAGTCGTCAGCGTGACCTAGGCACGAGACTGAACTTGGCACTGCGTGGAAAATCCAGATAGTTATGCGTTTATGACATGCTGTCGAGACCCTGAGAGGCTGGTTTTGAGTCTGGTGTACTCGATGGGTGTGTCGTGTGGAATTTCTTACCATAAGAAAATGCGCTTATAGCAATGGATGTGAGTGACGATCTTGATGGTACCGTACAAGGTTCTAAGTACGGAAAGAGGCGTTGTACACCTCGAGTTCTGGGAAGAGAGGAAGTATCAACCACATTTGTTGGTCCTTTCGTGATTCTCGACCGAGTCGGTGTCTTAGCCTGACGGTTGATCCCATCACCGGAGCTTGCAAGAGTGCACGACACTAGTGGAAAAAACACTTTTTACATCGGTTAAAAATCACTTTCACATCGGTTAAAACCCCATTTTGAAACCGATGTTGAAACAGGCGATGTTAAAAGTCTGTCTTATTTACATCGATTTTGAACCGATGTGAAAAAAACTTGTTCACATCGGTTGTCACAACAACCGATGTCATAAGACAAAAAATAGGCCTCAAAAATATGAAAAATCGATTTTATTAAAACCTTTTTTACATCGGTTATTATAAAAACCGATGTAAGTAAGGTTTATATACATCGGTTATTGGTAAAACCGATGTAAATAAAGACATTTAACATCGGTTTTCATAATAATCGATGTCATATTACTCGAATTCACATCGATTTTCAAAATAACCGATGTGAACAATGGTTACAGTGACATCAATAATTATGAAAACCGATGTGAAATCAAACATTTTACAACGGTTTTATTTCATTGTATCTGTTACTATAATAATAACATTCATACATTCAAAATATTCTCACAAATCAACAGACAAGTACTAATAACAACCAAAATATTTCAATAACCTCAAGTTATAACAATAGTTTACATATGCACTACACCAACAATAGTCATCAACCACAATTTGTCATAAAGTTCAAATTCTATAAAACGTAAGCAAACTGATAAGTCTAATTTCCTCATGAAGTAACCTCAAGAAAGTACTTCGTCCACCGCATTTTTATATTCTCAATGTCCTCGTCCGAATATGGCTCATCAATGCTCAAAGCCTACATGATACAAACAAATATTATCACTATAACTTATATTGAATTGAAGTGTGTGATTTTAAATACAACATAAAGTTGATTTTAATAAAACCATACCTCTTCCAACGAGTGGATAATATCAAGTGATATAATCTTGAGCATAGGAAATTGCTGCAAGTTAGTTGCTTTTGGACAACCAGCTAATAAGACAAGAAATTGAACAGAACTTACATATAGAATTAATTATTTTTCAATATTGCAGTAGCATTCTATTATTAGTTTACCTCTGGAACAGGATTTGGTGTGACATTCGGTTGCAAGGCTTCCTCTCTGCCAGGTGGAGCAAGATCAAGCATTTGGACCAACTTATCAGCAACCTCTTGTTGTTGTTCGGTTGGCTGCATTGTCGAAGGCAAATTGCTAAGAGATGGAAACTGAAACTCCCACATCCTCCGCAAAAGGAAGTACTTTGAAATAGAATGAATCCAACTGCAAATTTAAGGGTAGAAAAAATAAGCAGAAACAAATCAATAACTCGCACACTAAAAGGCAGTATAAACTTGCAAATTCTGTTCCATTTACTCACAACATTATCTTTCTCAGATATATTAGGAGTTAGAAACCCTATGACAACATTCATCTGCCCTCGTCTCCAAACACAACGTACAATAGCTACTTTATTCATTTCCTTCATTGCTCTTGCTAATACTTAAACCTCATGAATTGACTTTATTTTTTCAGGTTCAACAATGAAGAAGTTGACACTTTCATGTAATAGTGCCTTAAACCACAAGATGGATGGCCACAAATTATCAATATTCTGACAAGAATTAACTAAATAACAAATTTTAATATTTCTTTGAGAAAGCACTAAGAATAATTTTTCACCTCATGACATTTGAAGCCTCCATAAAACCTAGAAGTTTCAAACCATTCTCTGGTTTGAACTTGACAGCATCCAACTCAGCAGATGATATAGGGATTACCTGAGGACCATACCAGTACCCTCTGATCCATTGTTCGGCTGGTGTAACTCTACCAGGATCGTCAATGTATTTGTATTCATAATCAACCTTAATTTCATCCAAAATATATCATCCACTATCAGGGAGATAAAACTATTTAAGAATTAACTTTCCTGGAGCCTCACCTTGATCTTCATGTTAGGGCTCAGTTCGAAATCCCCTCTGTACACACAGTTACAGGTGATAGATTACGAGTCCGAAGATCAGCTAAAAGTGAAATTTGTTAAACCATCAAACGTATCACATAAGTTTCTTGGGGAAGAGACTAGGTGCAATCTTAAGCTAGTATATGAACTTCTCACAAGAACTTCATCTACAAATAGACTTCCAACAGACAGCATGCTAACGATCCCAAAAAAATAACAGCTTCTTTCTTCACAAGTTTCAACAATTTTTTATTTTCCACTTCACTATAAAATTCTGAGAAAAAACAAGAGCGACCTAATCCTTTTGTTCACAAAACAATTATACAAAACATATTCAACAGAACACATATAACAAAACACATACATATTAGTACTACCATCAAAATCTCAAACTTAATATTGACCAAAATCTCATAAATTATCACTCAATTAACTAGAAAAAATATATCCTTTTCTTTTTAAACCAATGAAAAATATAATGTGATACAACACAAACGAAATCACAATCGGTTTTCACAATTTATTAATAAAATAATGTCACACCTAGTAAATATCATATGAGATCAATAAAGGCTGTTTAGCCACAACTAAACCTTGGTCATACGAAATCAACTCATTAAATCAACTAAACCGTGAAGGTGCGCCGAAAATATATGTCTTACCAAAGAACGGCAGGCGGCGGTCGACGGATAACGGCGGTCGACGGATAACGGCGGGCGGTCGACGGACGACGGTCGCTCGAAGGAGGTCACTCAGGCTCGCGGTCAACAAACTGTGGATGGCCCGGAGAAGGTGCGACGACGACGAGAAGGCCGTGAAGGTGCGCCGGGCTTGCGGTCGACCGAAGGCCGTGAAGTTGCGCGGACGATGAGAAGCTGCGTGGACGGCGAGGGTTTTTGGAGAAATCAGTATTGAGAAAGATTGACAAGAGAGATTGATTTGGTAGACTTTAAAATTAATTTTTTGGGCATCACTTTTGGGCCAACTTTACATCAGTTAAATAAAACTGATGCATTTCACTTTTCGGGCCAAATTTTTAGACATATCGATTTTAGGCTTTGGCCCACACATCGGTTGTGTTGAAACCGATGCCTATACACAATCCCAGACATCGGTTTTCCTAAACCGATGTTGTATATTATATTTTTTACATCGGTTATACATATAATCGATGTAAACAAAGTTGCCTACCCAATTATTCACATCTGTTTTCTAAGAACTGATGCGCCTGATGACAATTCACATCAATTTTTGTAAAACCAATGTCACACTTTATGTGAAAAGTGTTTTTTGCATCGGTTTTCAAAAAACCGATGTAAACACCCGATGTGAAAAGTGTTTTTTGTACTAGTGTGACCTGTTCAGTGCCTCGTGGAGAGGGGACATGTGCGTGACTCTAGGCACGAGGCGATCTTTGACGAGTTGCATGTGGGCAGAACCTTACCTTTGATGAGGTACCGGTGACCTACTGGATTGACGAATCCAGCAGGGAGAGTCCGGAAGAGGTACTCGTCAAAGTCCGGCAGGGTAACCATGGCTAGTGCGGTGTGACTTGGTAGAGTGGGAAGATTCGGACGGAGTGTCCGAGTTGAGTGGTTTGAGCTTCTCTCGTGTATCAGTTGTCCTGTTGGGATGATTTTTCTTGGATTTTCGGGGACGTAAATCGTTTGAGGGTAGATTGTAATGCCCCATTTATTTGTGGATTATTTGAGAATATTATTATTATTTTATTGTTATTATTATTTTGTGATAATATTTATATTTATTTTTCTTGAATGCCATAATATTATTAATTGCCAAAATGTAATTAAAGTGCTAAATGTTTAATTGTCTAATTGCTTTTCGTAATTATTTTATTTTTATTAAATGTGAATAATGTGTATTAAAATATGTAAAATATATATTGTTCGGTTATTTATTATCGTGCGTTTGAATTCGTTATCGAGCCCGAAAATTTTTGTTGGAACCGAAATTGGGCCCGAGAATGTCCGTTTGAACCGAAATCGTGCCCGTGAGCCGATTTATTGTCGCGAATCGACCCGCGAGCCAACCGAACCATGCGGCCAGCCCAAACCCGGTTTTCCTAGACCTATGCGTGTGATTTTTCTTTCTTGCACGTCAAGACTTTAATCTAGGGTTTTTCTTTATATGTTTGGTACTCCTCTTGGCGTGAGAAGCAAATCCCGCAGCAATCACAAATCTCTCGTGAGATAACCAGATCAATCCCACAGCTTCTCTCTCGCGCAGCTTTTGGGATTTTGTTCTTCAGTCCCGATATCATCATCTCTCTCTCTCTCTCTCGCGCGTTGTTTGTTCTTTTTCCCGTCACCCTCACACCACCGATCTTTCAGATCGTTCTTCACCCATCATCATCGCCCCTTCATCATCGTGAATCGGTATCCCAATATTCCTCTCGCCATTATAATTTTGATTTACTTCCGAAATGAGGTTAAGAAGTAAGGAATTTGGAATGACCTTGGATTAATTTAATGTCATACCTTCCAAGATTTCATATCATAAATAAAATACAACCTACAAGTATTAAGTGTTCCCAGACTTATATCTAATGAGGCAGTCAACAGTTTCGGAGTTTTAACGCATTGCCAACTTGTCCAATTAGAAATTTGATCTGCAAAAAATTATCTAAAAGCATCTATACTTATATAAAAAGAGATTTTATTTACTACATTTACTATTCAGAAAAGTCAACTGCATTAAATGTCATTACTATTTTGGTATTATAATATTTTATTTATTTAATTGATTTATTTATTTGTTTTATTTTAAAAAGGTAAGTATAATAAAAAGATTTTAATAATAAAAATATCAAATACCAAATAAAAATGTACACTTTGACTTATTTGATTATATTTGGCATTTAATTATACCAAATATATTCCTATTTAGTATATACATTAAATACTTACTAAAGTATTTATTTGTTTTATTTGTTAAAGTTAAGTATAGATTTGTTTATATTATCAAATCATAAAAAAATATTAAATCCATATTGTAAAAAAAATCATATAATTTTATAACAATTCTACTACACTATTTAACAATTTTTTTTATTATATAATAAAATAATAATTAAATATTATATGGTGAACAACAAAAAGTAAAACTGTCACTTTCTCTTATATCAAGTGATAAATTTATATGCTAAAATTAAATTTTTATTAGTATAAATGTTTTAGTGAGATAATATATTAATTATTTTACAAGCTAGCCCTAACATGTTCATATTTAGTGTTTTAAAAGATGTAGAAAAAAACTTATAATAAATCTATTGTTTTTTAGACTTAAACGTTGATTAAAAGAGGTAAAAATTGCTAATTTTTTAGACTTAAACGTTGATTAACACCATAGATTGAGAGTCTATAATTAGTAAAATTCTTAATTGTAATAAAAAATTAATTTTTGCAATATTTTAGAATATCTTTAAATTCATTATAAGAAAAAAAGGAAAAAAAACTACAATGAAAAAAGCAAGTCAACTATATATCGGTTTGTTGTACTCCTCAAATCACATTCACAATTTGGTTACAAGGAAAGGAAACTCATTGATTAAAATATTATTTTGTCAATAGTCTTAATATACAAGAGACTTTAAGACTCTACTTGAATATTATAAAACTTTTATTGAACATTATACAATTTTCTTGCGTATTATAAACTTTTATTAAATATTGCATCTTATAATATAATATTCTCCAAATAAATATATCACGTGTTTCGCACGAGTCACGTACTATATATATCTCGTACATTTTTCTTTATTCATGTATATATTTATAAGCCTAAATAAATAACCTTAAAATTGTGCACCCCGTGCATTGCACGGGCTCTATACTAGTTTGTAATTAATGATCAGTCACAAAACAGATATGCCAGCTCAAAATGGTAACATTGCCATATCTACATAGTCAAATCAAGGATGCTAAACTAATAAATAAAGAAAATATTGGAGAAAGAAGAAAAACAAAACTTGGTTTGTTGCAATTAAATATATGTGGGACACGGTTTTCAAACAACTGTCTAATAATAGTAGTCATAATCTACTCAGAATCATGAGGTGGCCACACGGTCACAACAGAAATAATCAGAGAATAAAAAGAGTAGAACTAATCACCGTCCCCTATTACTATTTATTGTCTCTCTTGGACAATTTTGAATTTCATGGGCGGGATATACCAATATTCACGTTAGCCAAATATTTCAAATAAATTTTAGGGGGAAAATAAACATTTGAGCGGGAAAATGAATTATTTTTTTTGAATTTTTTCATGATTTTTTCTTAACTGTATTATATAGTAATAGATTTCTTAAACTTCAGTTAAATGATTTTTTTTGTTTTTATTTCCTAAACTTCAGTTAAATGATTTTTTTTATTCTAACGTCCAATTTATAAAAATAATTATAATTTTTATAATTTTAATTATAATATTTTTTATAATAATTATAATAATAATTTATTATAAATAATTATAATAACAATTATAAATTATAATAATAATAATTATAATAACAATTATAAATTATAATAATAATAATTATTAAAATAAAAATGAATTATAATATATTTTAATAGTTATTACATATGGAAAAATTTAATAATTATATTTCTGATAATATCTAACGTCCACTTAATAGCATAATGAAGTCTAACATGTAACATAATCATTTCTAACTCCTAACACGATAATATCTAACGTCCAATTTATAACATAATTATTTCGAATATATAACATAATAATTTAAAAAAAAAAAAATAAATAAATAAAAAACTTGTCCGGCAAGCCGAACCGGACGGACCGGTTTTGATCGGTCGTCGCCGCCGGACGGCTTTTAAGGCGTCCGGCCGGCCGGTTCGGACATAGTCCGTCCGTCCGACCGGCTTTTAAGAGACCTGATATTAGAAGTTGGCCTACGCTTTAAAGAAAAATGAAGTTGACAAAAGCAAATCAACAACTGGGAAGAAAAGTTTTACCTTCAACACCTCATAGTATACACCTTCCTTTAATTATATCAGCTTCTGCCTTCTCCTTCATTACATTACTGAACCTGTCTTCTTTTTTATAAGACTGTACAAATTTGAATACCAAAATTTTGAAGACAATTATATTTGGGTGACGGTAAGATGAGCCCATCAGAGCCGTGGAGTCCAGAGCACAAACTGGAAAATTATTAAAGGCTTCTCTGTGTAATTTATCGACAATGGTCGGCCACTAATTTTTTCCAAATATAGAGGTGAATGTGTTAGAAACTCGCTGGAGAGACAACATTCTGTTGCCGATGAGATCACGGCAAAAACACATGACATAAAAGAAAATTCACACGAAAATAAAAGAATACGTCCTTGTTTGGTAATGTTGAATTGACACATTTTCTTTTGCTATTCTATTGTTTATATAGAAGAATACAAGGAGCTAAATAGGTCTATAAATAAAAATTACATAGAAATTATAATCAAGCAAATATTCACAGCTAATCTAAGCAAGCAATAAGGGAAAACAAATAAACTAATTTAGGTGCACAAGGATTATATCATATAATAGAAGATTTCTTATAACCTCCTCTTAAACCTTGTGCACATTGTTGTCGTTGATTAGGCCGATCTTAGAGCGTAGTTCATGAAACTTGGTCCTCCCAATTAGCGGCTTCGTCAGAATGTCGCCCAGTTGTTCTTCGCTCTTGATGAACTCAACCTTCCACTGCAGACTCTAGGACAAAATGATATTTTACTCAAATGTGCTTGCTCTGTCCATGGAGTACTGGGTTCTTGATTAATGCAATGGCAGACTTGTTGTCCACCCTCAACATTAGCGCTCTTGGTGTTGATCCCTGCACCTTAGCCAACACCAATACTTGACTAGTAGCGTTTACAGTTGCTATGTATTCCGCCTCGTAGCTTGACTGTGCCACCACCTCCTGCTTCATGGAGTGTCAAGTGATCGGGCTACTGTTGAGGAAGAAAATCCCATTTGTGCTCTTACTAGTATCAACATCCTTGGCATAATCGCTATCACTCAAAACCGTCAAGTGAGCTTCCATCTCTTCCTTTCTGCTAAACCAGAGTCCCTAATTCTGGGTTCCTACCACATAACGCAGAATGTGCTTCACAGCAGCAATGTGATCCTCACGTGGGTCCTCCAAGAATCGGCTAACATATCCAACCGCAAAAGCCAGATCGGGGCAAGTATTAACGCAGTACCTCAAGCTCCCAATGATGCTCCTGTACGTCGTCTGGTTGACTGCCGCTCTGAGTTGAATTTGCTCAACTTCAGTCATGCCTCCATAGGCACTTGGCAGGGATTGCACCCAACCATGCTGCTCTTCTCCAGAATCTTGTCAGCATAAGAACCCTGGTTTAGTGAGATTCCCCTCGCGCTCTGCTTCAGTTCAATGCCGAGGTAGTAGTGAAGTAGGTCGAGGTCACTCATCTTGAACGAGGCCACCATCTCCTTCTTGGACAACTTGTTGTGGGCGCAGCTCGAGCCAGTGATCACGAGATCATCGACGTAGACCCCGACCA